GGTCATCATTTTATATCTATAGAACATATATCTTATATATATTTATATACCATCTTCTATCACCATGCATAAAAATGAAAATACCTATTTAATGAAAGCTGAAAGTTTAGAAATGAATTCTTTTGCTTCAGCTGCAATTTGAGAAAAGCACAGCTACTGCAAGCCTTAGAAGCCCATCACAAGGGCTGCCAGCATTGTGCTTTTTAACAGCAGCATCACAGTGACTCAGATATTAGCTCAGTATTGAAGCTAGTACTTCATGGTAGTAATGAGGATGAATAATCACATACAGGAATTTGAAAACCCCCTCTGATTAGCAAATGGTTTTTTATCTGCAGCTGAATCTTTAGTTGCTGAAGCCAGGAGCCCTTCATTGCCTCTGATTTATGAGTGGGTTAAAAATATCTTGAAGTAAATGGAAAAGCTGTTGCATGCATTTTAGGGTCAGTTCAATCTTTTTCTCATCGTGTGCTCTTTCCCGGACCAAGCACTGGGGGACAGAGGACTGCAAAGGATGAGATTCTCAACATCCCTGAGTATTTGGGTTTCCTGCATAGGGGTGGGGGTGGCCAGGTTTTTACTTAAGAACAGCCAAGAATGTCCACCCGTACCTCCACCTTTCTGCAGGGGCCCCAGAGCCAAGCCTGCCTGCCCCAGCCTCGGGGAGGACATCAGCCTTGCCTGGAGGGGTGCGGGCAGGTGAGGCAGGGCTGTCCCCTGGGTGGGCAGGGGCTGGAGAGCACGGCCAGACAGGTTTTATGGGCCAAAAGCCAAAAAAAAACCCCGAACAAAATGCTTAGGAATGAGTATGAGGGCAGGGTGAGCACATACCACACGTTCCCCGGGCTCCACCACCAACTACTTGTAGCTTGGAGCCCCCCTCCCACCCATTTAGTCACAGGCAAAAAGAAATTCTCTTCCCTTAACGTGTATACGGGTTTTTTTTCTTAAACCTTCCGAAAATCCCAGCAGTCCCACCATCCCATGGCCAGGGTTTCCCGTTTAACTGTGGCGCATAAAAGACAACATAATTTTGCTTGAACTTGTCTTCCACCAGCTTCACTCGGCAGCACTAAGCTTCGGTTGACTTTTTTTTTGTTTTCCCTTGATGAAGGCTGAAGCTGGGAGTTTAAAGCGCGTTCGGCAGCCTGCACGTTACCGACATTCCGATAAGGGCGCTGAAGGAAAGGCTCTCCAGCTACAGGGGACTGCGCTCAGTGCGATGACCGAGACTCAGATAGGCCACGGGAGAGGAAAAAGGGTCCTCAAACACGGCTTCTGCTTTACGACGCGTGATTTAGCTGCACAGGGTGATGTTTTTAAAAGTAAACAACTAAAAATATTCATTGAGAGGGAGTTTACCATATTGCCTCACAACAGAGCCTTTTTTCTGCCTGTGACCTTCTCAAAGAGGCAATGCAAACGGTAAAAAATAGTACCAAAAAAAAAAAAAAAAGGAAGTACTGAGACAAGATCACGGTCTTATGATTCTTTTCATATGCTCACATTCACGCTAGCTGCCTCTTCCCTTTTAGTTAATACCTCTGTGTGTGCATGCACATACGTGTATGAAAAATATAGGCTGTAATCGCGCAGGCGCCACGTCATCGTGATTTTACCATTGCGCTTTTGCGTGCTTATGGCTATAGCTACGCAGCGCTTCGCTGTTTTTCAGGGGTTTGACGGCATCTGAAACAGAAAGTCTATTGAAAAGGGAGCTTATAAGCTGTTAGAAAGACAGCGCTTATCCTTTTTTAAAATTTGACACTCTGTATACCTCCTACTGAAAAATATTAGAATAGTAGAAAGAAAAAAAAACCCCACCATTATCTTCCAGAACGAAGATCTGCCTGCCTAATGTACTGCTTTACTCTCAAACAGTGAAGCAGGGCTGCTGCCTTCAGCTTGCACTGCAAGCTCTTTGCAGTGCTATAAAGAGTTGCTTGTTTTAAGCCAGGACCTGACGTGAATTGCCTGTACAGAAAGCCGGACAGTGATGGGCAGATAAAAGAAGAGAGAGTTCCCTTGAGCTCCTCGGTGTTGTCAGATATAGCTGCATTGCTTTGATTCTCTGGGAGCAAGTAACTACCTGGAGATTCTGGTGGGCTTTTCGTTGCTGTTGTTTTTAAACGTGTAAGCAAAGCCTCTTTCCGAACTCCGTCTCTTAATGGAAACACAGACCGAGAGACCCAAGTGCACTCTACAGGTTTCAAAATTAGATGCAAGCAGACAGGAATCCAAAACAAGCCACCCCTCGGCTGTTTGCATTTTTTTTTTAAATGGCCCATTTATTTCAAAGCCAATCTTACAATAATTAATTTCAGGGAAGACAAAACCGGCTACTTCTTTTTGAATGTTTGATACTGGCATTAGCAGCTCTCATACACCTGATGGTAAAGTGAGTCACAAGTTCTGCTACCCAAAAAAAACCCAACCAAAAAAAAAGGGGGGGGGGGGA